TATGTGCTTTCATTGGGCTCTCACATATAGTATTGTGTGTGTGCTTTAGTGTTAATAGATGGAAATGTTGCTCGATGACATCATACTGTTTTATTCATTTATTTTTATGGTGCGGATATATCAAGTTATTGCAGACAATGACTTCAAATTTTAAATTAGTTACATTTATTAGTATTTCTTATGGGCTCAAAATGTCTAAATGGCAAAGCTGTTCAGAGATCATAATGAAAACAAAATCTGAATCATGAAATTCCAAACTGTAATTATAAATTATACTATATTTGCTCCAATAAGCAGTGAAGAGTTTTTGTTTGAAAATATAATTAAAGTCAGAGTAGTATAAGTCGTTTTGTAGTGTCATGGGCCTTCACATTAGGATAATGCTTTACAATGAACTCTGTTATGCTGCGTTCACACCGAATGCGAATAGCGCGTCAAATTCGCGCCTGACGCGTCTAGTTTGACGCTTGACCACTTTGTGTTAATTTGCTTGTCAAGAGTGAAACTGGCGCGCGTAAAAACAAAAGTTTGAAGTGAAATTTACGTGCGACGTATATTTATATATTTGTGTCCACCGGACCCTTCGTAGGTGAACCGTTTGGTGAGTTTCACCATTTGCTCGCTCCAGGAGCTGCGCTGGATGACGGCCGCTGTCAGCGGTACTTCCGCCTGTCACGCGGCCAGTTTCATGACCTGTTGTCCCGCATCAGAGCGAGGATCACCCTCGCCCTCATCCATCTAATCTAGCTGTCATTTATTTTTGTTTTGATAATAAATAGAGCCAGCCTTAAAGTTATTAACCTGTCCTGTGATTATTATTATTTTTTTTCTCTCTCACGTCCAGACACGAACTTATGCACAGATATGTTGATTGTCTTACATCATAATACTATTTCATATAATCTAGATATGGAATGAATAACATTCAATACAAAATTAACATGTCTCGTATATAGAAATAATGTTTTAAGTGATAAAATATTTGCTTTGTTGTGCATAATCCCACCATGCATTTAGTCATATTAACAAAATAATTTATTGAAGCATCCAGACACTTCACCAGGTGAGCAAGCAGCTAGGCTCCTGATTGGTTAACGTGGCGCGAATTCACGCCAAAGTTCAGATTTTTCAACTCGGGCGGCAGACGCGAATTCGCACCATACGCGTGAATGCACAAATGGCACTAACTAAATAATTCGCGCTTAACGCGCCAGACGCTCAATTCGCGCCGTTCACGTGAACTTGACACACGAATGAGGCGTATTTGCATCTTCCGCACCGTGTTCCACGCCTCATTCGCGCCGCAGGAATTTTTTACACGCGTAACGCCTCTTTGCATTGACTTAACATTGAAATCATGCGCGCCTGACGCGCTATTCGTGTCCGGTGTGAACGTAGCATTAGAGAGCTTCATATGGCAATTTATCTGTTCAATAAAACGCGTACTCGGCTGTTGAGTAATATGTTGATTCTTGTTTTATTACGAACAGTCGCATTCTCTTTTTGCCAGCAAACTCTCCTCTTTTCAGGTTTAAAAAACAAACAAACTTCCCCGAAGGTTCAAGATTTAGTGTGCTTCACACTTCAAACTAACCTAACCTTCATTTTTCTCAACCATCCCATCAGGTCTATAATATGGACACTTATAATAGGCTTACTATAGTGAATCAGGGTAAGACAAACATGTTTTGGAAGAAGGATTGACGATGTATTGACTGAATTGTTCATTTTGAAGAAAAAAATACATAGTGTACTTTTTAAATGTATTCAAATCCACATGAAATTAAATACAAATAATACTATTCTAAGGACTTGGCGTGTTCGTTTAGATTTTTTTTAAAGATTTATTTTTGTTTGTTTTATCTTTTTATTTTTACCTTTATTAAAATAGGATAGTAGGGGACTGACAGCAAGCGAAGTGGGAGAGTGAGGGGGACGGGTTCGGGAAGGTTCATGAGTCGGGACTACATGTCAGAGTAATGCCAGCAAGACCTTTTCCATTATTTCAGGCATCCTTGTTGTTTGTCAGTGTTGTAGTACTCGAGACTCGGACTCGTCTCGGACTCGGTCTCGAGACCATATTTTAATGGTCTTGGTCTTGTCAGGGACTCGTGTGCATTTGGACTCGGAATTCACTCGTACTCGAACATTTTTTTTTTTTTAGGACTCGGATTTATTCCCGAGTCCACTCGTGTTCAATTCAAAATATTTTTCATGATTATAAATGTATGTTAATAAAATATTTCTTTAAATTGATTGACACGCCCAGTGATTGGTGATTTTCTAGTGCGCAACTGCGCATGACAAATTGTAATAAAATTACTTTTAACACCACCTACTATGTGGCCTTTTTACCCTAAACTGATCATATTTTTTAAACTCTAAGTAAATTCAGTAAAAAAAAAAAAAAAAAAGGATTTCTCTAAGTAAATAAAAGTAAATTAGGTAATCAACCCTCACTGGTCTCGACTTGGACTCGACCGTCTCTGGTCTCGGACTCGACTCTCTATGGACCCGGTCTTGACTCGGACTCGACTCTCTCTGGTCTCGGTCTAGACTCGGACTCGAGTGAGGTGGTCTCGACTACAACACTGTTGTTTGTCATAAAACTTGTAGGGAGTGATTAATTTGATCAGCAGTTTTGTACTGTTGTTCAGGCGTCTTACCTGCAAAACGTACCTTTTGTGTTTCAAGATACAGATTTGGAAAGCCGTGAGCAACTATGCCTTTAAAAATATTCTATTTGAAGAAAGAGAAAGCAGGAATACTGCCATTATTTCTTTGACGGCATCTTTTCTTTCAGTTAATCTAGAAGCTCTTGGTATCGTCTCTGTGTCACATCGGCGTATAAAAGCCTCCTCGCTATAGCCTCAAGTCAACACAGCCCTGCATCTCGGCTCTATTATGAGGAATGTTTTAATGAAATGTAGAGTGTTTGTGTTGTGTTTTTCACCTGAGCTCAGGCGGCATCTGTGTCAAGGGGGACTAAAAGCCCGTTGATGTCAATAACTGTATTTTTCCTCCGAGGCAGCTGAAGATGAGGTCTAATCGAATGGATATTAAAGTCACAATAGACTGCTCCTGCTATTACGGCCTGTCAAGCACGGCCCTTTCTCTCAAAGATTAGTTTCTCCTGCTGAATATTTATACACTTACTGTAGGCTTAACCTCACAGTCAATGGTGTTTCATTCCTCTTCTATCCTATTCACTACTCTCCTCTTCTTCTCTTTTCCCCCCTCTTGTTCTTACTGCTTCACTCCAGTCATCTAAATAAAGCCACACGGGATACATGATGCCATTATTCAGAGACATTATTTGAGGGCCTATACTTTCTCTTTGATACTTTCAATGCCAGTTATTTTGGTAAAGTGCAATTTTCAAGTGCACTGACTATAGTGAGATAAATGATTGGAAGGAAGTGTGTTTTATTTTTTATTTGTAACGTCCCCACTTATAGAAAACCTCAGGGAATTTTAAAATTGTGTTTTCTAGTCCTGAAAAAAGTCTTGTGAATTCTATAGCTATTGCTTCTGAATGGAGTCAAGCTTGCTAACAAGGTAATATGAGAGCGAATTGTTCTTTTGAGTTGATTCTTTTAATTCAAATCAGTTTGAATCAGTCAAGCTGGTTCACGAATCAGCATGAATATTTCTTCTTTTTTAATTCTGAATCATTTGGGATTCAGTCTTTAATTTGATTTCCAGTCTGAATCTTACTCTTTGATACTTTCAATGCTAGTTATTTTGGTAAAGTGCAATTTTCAAGTGCATTAACTATAGTGAGATTAATGATTGGAAGGAAGTGCGTTTTATATTTTATTTGTGACGTCCACTTATAGAAAACCTGGTAGTGTCAGGGAATTTCAAAATTGTGTTTTCTAGTCCTGAAAAAAGTCTTGTGAATTCTAGCTATTGCTCCTGAATGGAGTCAAGCTTGCTAATAAGGCCATAATATGCAAGCGAATTGTTCTTTTGAGTTGATTCTTTTAATTAAAATCAGTTTGAATCAGTCAAGCTGGTTCACGAATCAGCATGAATATTTCTTCTTTTTAAATTCTGAATCATTTGGGAATCAGTCTGAATTTGATTTCCAGTCTGAATCTTACTCTTTGATACTTTCAATGCTAGTTATTTTGGTAAAGTGCAATTTTCAAGTGCACTAACTATAGTGAGATTAATGATTGGAAGGAAGTGTGTTTTTTATTTTTTATTTGTAATGTCCCCACTTATAGAAAACCTGGTAGTGTGAGGGAATTTTAAAATTGTGTTTTCTAGTCCTGAAAAAAGTCAAGCTTGCTAACAAGGTTAGCTTGCTAATATGCGAGCGAAATGTTCTTTTAAGTTGATTCTTTTAATTCAAATCAGTTTGAATCAGTCAAGCTGGTTCACAAATTAGCATGAATATTTCTTCTGCCTTAATTCTGAATCAATTGGGATTCAGTCTGAATTTCATTTTGAATCTGAATCGTACCCTTAATATGAATCTTAATCACTGGACAAGACGTAGGATGTGCTTGTGGGGGCTTTATAGTAACAACTTATGATAATATAGCTGAGCAGTAGGACATAATTTCAAAATGCATGGTTTTATTAAATATGAATAATTGAGCACCAATAATAATTGAGCAGCAAATCAGCATATTAGAATGATGTTTGACGGGTCATGTGACACTGAAGACTGGAATAATGCTGAAAGCATCACAGGACAATAAAATAAGAGACTTTCAGAATCATTTCAAAATCGTACCATCCCCATAAATGTGTGTTTACATGTACGTCTATGGACTTTTCCATCCACCAGATGAAAATGATGACTTCAATCACTTGTTGAGCATAATTCAATGTGTCATTCACATTGAACAGTCTGTAGCTCGTTGCTTATCACAGTGAATGCTTATTATTGGGTGTTTGTCCAAGTCACAAGATGGAGCAGAAGTACCTGTGATTATGTATTTATCAGACAGCAATAATGGTGATCCTTTCCTCGCTCTTTCCGTCAGGTGTGGCTGTGGCTCAGCAAGCGCAGGGCCAGTCGAGGCGTTTCACCACCATGGATGTTGATGAGGAGGAGAACATGAGTAAGTGCTCATAACTGAACCCCAAACCCTCCATTCCAGCACACTCCCCTTAACTAATGTGTCATTTAGTGAACAGTATAACGCTAAACGATCCCAGCAGAGATGTTTAAAGTAGTGTTTAGACATGGACACGATTTTTACATTGAAACGTCAGTCCGTTCAAATCAAATCTTTTTTTTTCAGTTCTTCTATGTTTAGTATTTTTTATTATTGCAGTTGACTCAAATGGTGTAAAATTTGAATTTGAAATTTAAAATGGTGAACAAACATTTAAATTATTTTAAACATATCAGACATACAGTATATAAGATTTACAGGAAAACATTCACATTTTGTTCTGTTGCTCGCTTGTATCGTGTATTGGGTGTTACACCTTCTGCCTTTTAAGCATGTCCTATTATAAAATGATTTAAAGTTTCTGCTGCTTTTTGATGTTGCTTCTAAATCTTGTTTAAAGGGATGCTTCACCCAAACATGAATCTTCATTTACTCACATTTAATGAAAGAACAAATGAAGAACATTGGGGTCCAAACTACTCATTGTGCTGACTGACCTTTTTTTTTCCCCTAATTTTTTTTTTCTTTTGTGTTCCACAGAAGAATACATCATAAAACGTCATGACAGTGAGTAAATGATGACAGAATATTTTGTTTTGTTTTTTATTTTTGGGTGAACTATTCCCTTAGGTGCATTTTTTTTTTTTCAGCCCTCATTTTTTTTTTTGCCACAGCAAAATGCAAAGCATGTTATAGATTATAACATTTTAAATTCATTTTTTTTATTAATAAATGATCAAAGGTTTAACATAAGAAAGCATAAAAAAATCGGCAAGATGATGTGCTAAATAATTGAATATTTTCCAAATTTCTTTACACTTGAATGTGTTCAAAGAAGATCGGGACTCAAGGCTGAAGAAATACACAGTCCCGTTCTTCTTTATTCAGCAGTGCTGTGAATAGAAGATTCTGGGAAGAGTTGTTAACCCAGAGGAAATGTCCCCCTCTATTGTCCCGTCACTCTGTAGCTTGTCTTCAGAGCCACTGACAATGGAGGGACCCGTCATGTATTATGGATCTGTAGCGAAGCGGACTTTCTCATTTAGATTTTCTGCCGATAGGCATATTTGATATCCAAAAGCTTTCTACCTCTGACATTGCAGCTTATTTCTCTATCAGCTTTAGACGTTAGGAGCAGGAAACTACAGGATTTTGGGCCCCCTTTTTTTAGTAGCCTGTGTTTTCCCATTCTTGTTCTCCATAGGAATATTTACGTTTTAAAGATTTTGACCAATAAGGGCATTCGACTACATCACAGTGCACCAAGTGAGAATCAACATGGTGGCCTTTTTGACATTGCTAATACACACAAAGGGAGCTGGTGCACTTCACTGTTACTGAGCCTTTGTGTAGATAGAAACAGGACCTTTCCTTTAGAGCCATGAACTTCAATGTTATTTAAGCTCTCGCAGGTGTTCACTTTTACATTCCTTTAATACTCCGTATATATTTGACTGGTTACACTAAGTATAGTTTTTAGGATGTTATGCTTTTCATTGTGCAGCTGATTGAATTTTCAGTTGAAGGTCTATATCTCTATTAAGCTTAAAGCGGTTTAATTTGCATTGCATTTTTGGGCGTTCTTTGTTAGTGTAACATTGACTATGTTCTAAAAGCTAGTGACCTGCTCTGGGGTCGTCTTCTAAGGCCACATCTTAACGGAAATTTAACCTCCAAAGTTTGAAAGTTTAAAAAAAAAAAAAAAAAAAAAAAGTCAAAATAGTAGATTAGTTTGAATGTTTTGCAGATATAGTTTTTGTTACTAAATGGATTATAAAAGTACATTTGCAGTGTCCTGCCTAAGGCCGTATGTCCACCAAAACGTTTTTCCACGCGCCTGGCGTATGTTTTCAATTGTTTTCAATGGAAGCGCCGCGTTTTTTAAACGCCATGTGCGTAACGAGACGCTGAGCGTTTTTTTTTTTTTTTTTTTTTTTTTTCACGCTGAGCGCCTGACGTTTTTTACTGGTCGTCAAGAGTTAAAAAATGTTCAACTTTGGATAAAATGCTGTGCTCATCACTGTCACTTTTTACCCAGCCGTCCAATCACAATGGAGGAGGGCCGGGACTAATACCACACCGACCAACTTTCGCAACATTCTTTCGCTGGCAGAGCTAACCGAACAACATGGATGAAAAATAAATTTTTAGTATGACACAAATTATCTGCGAAATCAGTTACAAGTAAACTGAGCTGTGCATATTCTGTATCATAGCAACGAAACGTCTCAACGGAAAAAACGCTGCGCTGCCAAAACGCTCTCAAGTGCCCAAAGCACGGCGTCTTCAGCAGAGCGTCTGGCGTTTTCAGCTGGCTAAAAACGCTTTGGTGGACACACGGCCTAAGATCCTTTAAAGGGCTACCTATGTAGGCATCTCACTAGGTTTTGGAAAAGGGCCGTTGTTTTAGCAAGAGTGATTTCCATCCTTAAAACCAGAGTCAATCTGTGTGTGTGATGTGGATAAGTGTATAACAATTTGACACGCATAAGAAGGGTTTTGATTTCCAGATTCTGCTCCGGTATTTTGTATATTTCTCTGTCTCTTTCTTTCTTTTCTTTTTTTCTTTCTCCTCCACGTTCTCTTTCTTGCTCACCCCCCTTCCCCCCTCGCGTTTTCCCTGACACGACTTTCTCTCTTCTCAGATATCTTCATTTTATTTGTCCTTCTGCCTTGCACCCACTCCCTTATCCACCCTGTTGCTCCTACTGTTTGCAGAGAGCTCTTACTCTGTTCCCCTACTGTTCACGGACGCTATTCTCTCTACCAGAGCACTGAAAGCAGTAACCTAGCGAGCTTTTGCTGAAGGATGTTATAAATGAAAATTTAGCCAAAGTTCCATCAGCTTTGTCAACAGGACATGATGATGTGTGTTTCCTCTGCAAGAGCCTCTTTTATTAAGCGAAAAAGAATTGTGTGACCTGTAAATATCTCATGAAAACATGCCCAGATCCTATTTCACCCCAAAATCGAAATAAAATAAAATTTTGCAAATTTTTTTTCGAAAAAAAAATAAAATAAAGCGTAATTTTAAGGCCATTTTTGATTTATATTATTTTTAAATGTCTTTGCTCATGCGATTTAAATATGCTGCCTTTTTTAATTACAAAAAATTTAATTACTTTTTAATTACAATATATATATATATATATATATATTTTTTTTTTTTAAATTGATATATTATTGAAACCTTCAGATGAGTGAAAAGACATCCATTCCACACAACAACTAATAATTGCTTATGCATTTTTTGAAATTTTGAACTCTGATTTAAATCTTTTAATCGACTGAGATCCTTATTGTGAAAATGTATTTGTTTTTTCTTTTGATTTTGGGTTGAAATATGCTTGAACAGTTTTGTTACAGTAGATAAGACTGTTCTCAAAGTTGTGTGAAATTCACAGAACACAACTCTAAAAACTGAACCCCTATTTTTTGATGTTTTATTGCCACCATTTATATGGAGGGACCTGAAAAATTGCATTTGTCACTCAAAAAGAGCCTCATTTAATTAGTTATTAGGCTTTTAAAGCTTTGGTTTCTGTTCTGCATTAGCACATAATTTATCTCCAGTGAGATGATTGATTGACCCGGTACGAGCCATTGCCTGCAAAACTGAATGCTCAAACTGTACTTTAAATTAAACTGATGATTATGATCATTTAGATTTCATACCTCATGGTCTTCCTTAATTATGTTAATTAATCGGAAGGTTTTTTATTCAGTGTCTTCTCCGAAATTCCTCTCTTAAAAAAGTTTGACAAGATTAGTTTAAAAATGCATCATGCTAGCATACCTCGGCACACACAAAAAAAGGAACACACATCACTTGTTCGGTTACAAAGAAAGATAAAGGAATCTATAAATTTTACATTTACAAGATCCTGCAACGAAGGCGTTGTAAGTTACTCTTTCTGGGCACCGCAGGTTCATGCAGCACCGACGTAAAGGAAAACCGCAACCTGGACAACGTCTCTTCTAAGGAGGGAGCTGGCCTGGTGGAGCAGCTCCCCAACGGTAGTGGAGGAGGGGGTCGCAAGCGCCCTCTGGAGGAGGGCAACAATGGCCACGCGCACTCGAAATTCAGACCCAAGAAACGTAAGAAAACTCCCGGGCCGGTTCTGCCCAAGAACGCCCTGATGCAGCTGAATGAGATCAAACCAGGCTTGCAGTACAAGCTCCTCTCGCAGACCGGCCCGGTCCACGCGCCGGTTTTCGTCATGACCGTCGAGGTTAACGGGCAGTTGTTCGAGGGCTCGGGGCCCACAAAGAAAAAGGCCAAGCTGAATGCCGCTGAGAAGGCCCTGCGTTCCTTCGTTCAGTTCCCTAACGCGTCTGAAGCGCACCTGGCCATGGGCCGTACGCTCACCGTCAACACGGATTTCACCTCCGACCAGGCTGACTTCCCTGACATGCTCTTCAACGGGTTTGAGACGCCGGCACCGCCCGAGGAATCGTTTTTTCTGGGCTCCAACGGCAACGGCTCCTTAAACCCGCTGGGAGAGTATCCCGTGCCCCAGGCGCCAGGTACGAACAGCCTAGTTCAGGCGCCCCTGCAACCGCCCTCCTCCTTCGCCTCCTCGGCCAGCGGCAAGAACCCCGTCATGATTCTCAACGAGCTGCGGCCAGGCCTCAAATACGAGTTTGTGTCGGAGAGCGGCGAGAGCCATGCTAAGAACTTTGTGATGTCCGTGACTGTGGACTCGCAGATGTTCGAGGGCTCGGGCCGAAATAAGAAACTCGCTAAAGCCCGGGCGGCCCAGGCGGCTCTGTCTGCGCTCTTCAACATGCAACTGGACCAGACCCCATCTCGCCAGCCCATCCCCAGAGAGGGCCTACAGCTGCACCTGCCACAGGTGAGAGATCCGCACCTCAGACTCAACTGTCTTTCTTTTTTGCACTAAAGACTAGGGTTGGGTATCGAGAATCGAGTATCGATTTTTCGGAATTGTTCAAAAGTTAAAATTTCGATTCCTAGTTTCGATATTCACAGTCCGCCGAGCGGAAGAAGAAACCGCTGAACACCAACGAACGAAGAAGCGTCTACCGGAAGTGTTGCAGGGTCCCCGCGGGTCCTTAAAAAGTCTTAAAACGTCTTAAATAAAATTTTCGCTTTTTAAGGCCTGAAAATGTCTTAAAATCTGAAATTTCAGATAAGGAGGTCTTAAATTTCACGTACGGACCTTAAATTTCTTGTCCGACTCGTCATCCGTTTTTTTGTTTTGTTAACAGACTTTTATGGGCATTCATGCTTGGTTGCCAGATTTAAATAATTAAATCCCCAGTCAGAGCTTTTCTGTTAAAAGAACACGTTTTCTACCCGGTCTTGTCAATAGTATCTGGCAACCATGCTCTACACTGCTGAAGAAGCGCTGATGATCTGAAAACAGACAAGTATCTGGAGTTCGGTGATATTCATTTGAGATTATCTACTTGAATTAATTAAAGTGTCATTCAGTTGGTCTTTATTCTGTCACGAGCTGTTTGTGCGACTAAATCTGCGATCAATACAGGCTAATATCCAGCAGTGTTTTTAATGTTGATCATATTATTGCATATTATTGCTGTTTTGCAACGAAAGCCACTGCAGAACTGCAGCAAACAGTGGTGATTCGAATTTGTGAGATTCAATGACCCGTTCATCGAAACAAGGAATCGGAATCAGAATCGTTCAAATTCAAACGATACCCAACCCTACTGAAGACTATATGCTACACAATGATTGATTTATTTTAAAGGGATACTCCACCCAAAAATGAAAATTCTGTCATCATTTACTCACCCTCAAGTTGTTGCAAACCTGTATGAGTTTCTTTCTTCTGCTCTACACAAAGGAAGATATTTTGAAGGGATAGTTCACCCAAAAATGAAAGTTCTGTCAGTATTCACTCACCCTCATGTTTTTCCAATCCCGTAAGACCTTCGTTCATCTTCGGAACACGAACTTCGGAAGATATTTTTGATGAAATCTGAGAGCTGGATCACTCCTCCATACTAGTCCATAGGCTTCTTGAGGAATTGAATCTTGCTGGGCTCAAAGTTATTAAAGACATCCTTAAAATAGTCCAAGTGACTACAGTGGCTCAATCTCAAGTTTATCAAACGACGAGAATACTTTTTGTGCGCAAAAAACAACAAAAATAATGACTTTTTTTAACTATTCATTTCCTTCTCTCTCTCTGCCTCGAGTCAGGTTACTAGTTTAACAGCGTATGATCTGTTGTTGTACGTCAATAGAGAGCCTATGTGTGACGTAGCTCTTTGCTATCACACTACGTTAACCTACTAGAGGCTCATAGAGAAGGAAGTGAATAGTTGAAATAAAGTCGTTATTTTTGTTTGATTTTGCGCACAAAAAGTATTGTCGCTTGATAAAGTTAAGATTGAGCCACTGAAGTCACTTGGAGTATTTTAACCATGTCTTTAATAACTTTTCGAGGCCGTAAGTTTCAAGTCCTCAAGAAGCCTATTGACTAGTATGCAGGAGTGATCCGGCTCTCAGATTTCATCAAAAATATCTTAATTTGTGTTCCAGAGATGAACAAAGGTCTTCCGGGGTTGGAACAACATGAGGGTGAGTAAATACTGACAGAACTTTCATTTTTGGGTGAACTAACCCTTTAAAGAACGATTGGAGCTTTGGCACCATTGTATTATTTATTTTTTTATTTTATTTTTTATTTTTTTCTACTATGGAAGTCAATGGTGCCAAACAACTGTTTGGTTCTAATCGTTCTTCAAAATATCTTCCTTTGTGTTCAGCAGATGAAATAAACTAATACAGGTTTGCAACAACTTGAGGGTGAGTAAATGATGACAATTTTCATTTTTGGGTAGAGTATCCCTTTAAGGGGTCATTCATGCAGAGCATGTTGTTGTGTTCAAATCGCTAGATGATGAACTATGAACAACATTGAAACACAATGCGACAGGCATATACATGAGGGTTGGATTCTAACATTAAAAACAGCACGGACAGGCACATCTATGTGTCATAAACGGCCATTAACCCCTTTTTTATTCAATCTTTTTGAAAAATACTTTATTTATAACTCACTATGCAGCAGTATAGTAATGGTTTATTTATACCCTAGAGATAGGCAGGCCTAAACTAGTAAAGAAATACTGTACGAGAAAATTGCATTATTTATAGTTTAATAAAAGTTATAGAAAATGTTCTCAAGCACTCTGCAGAAACTTTAATGTTGAATCTCATTTAAACCTTTTCTTGTTCTGTGGATTCCTTTAACACACACATCAGACTGTCTGATAAAGTCATGATTTTATCTGATGTGTAAAAATCTGATAAATAAAAGACTGGTCTTTCACATCTCAGAATGTTTAATCTAAGTTTCTGATCCATTTAAGTTTATCGGAGATCATCGTCTAAGCCTTTATGTCGGGATGCACAAAGCAGGCCCATCTTCATTAGGAACAAAGCCTAATGGACATGAAGATGGGCTCTGTATGTTGCTAAAATAACTTTTCTTTTAACCCTTATTTATATATATATATATTTAGTTTTTGTTTTGTTATTATATGTACCTACATAACAGTAATTTATCTACAAACATTTTAATATATATATTTTTAAATTACCATGTTAAGACTGAGCATTTTTGAGTTTTTCAAACAAACAAAAATCTAAAATGATGCATTTAATTGGCCCGAATGATTTATTTAAAATCTAATTTCCAGCTCCTAATGACATTGTAACTTTGAACCTTTAAGTAATTAAATTGGACCTTTAAATAAAAAACGCGCTGAACCATTATGGTATTCACAATGTTTCTTAATGCCGTTTTTCTAGCAGAGTATTGTGAATATGTCATGCATATTCAATATATTGCTCACCCCTACCAGTGAAACAACACAGTGAGCCGAAATGACCAACGATTGGCGTTTGTGTGAGAAGACGTCTATTTACACATTTCTAAAATCCTCTCTTAATCCTGCATTTGAGATAAGGCCAGGCCTGGAAGCGACCCAATCTTAATTAACATCTTCCTCTGAACCGTGTCAAAACAAGAACATTTTGTTTCAGCCTGCCCACTACCTGTCCACTAAAGAGCAGTCCTGTCAGCCGCTTGTTTTGTCTCTGATGCTGATTGCTCTTGGGCCGTCTGTCTCTGTGACACATACAGCACCATGAATGCAAGACCCCATTATCCATTCCTAATCTGATACCCACAAATTTAACATGCTGTCAATATGAGACCAGTGGCCGGATAGGTGTATTTGTTTCAACCAGATGGCAAGAGGTTAAATAGACTCTCGTCATGGGACAACTGATCGCTTTAGTTGTTCCTTCACTCATGTGGCGATACGTACCGACCTTACATCAATGATGGAAGGTTGAAGAATACTATAGGCCATAATGGGCGTCTTAATTAGGAGCAAAGCTTAATGGGAACGAAGATTGGCTCTAACACATTGGAGTGGATTGTAGGATTTAGCTAAAAAAAATATATATATATATATATATATTGTCTTTTCTATCATAAATGGACATTATGATACCATTACTTATTATTTTTTATATATTTAAATTTATTTTTTAATTTATATATTAAGTATTTTACATTTATATAGCATTTGGTAGCTTAATAAATTGCAAAAGGCCACGTCGTCATGATTAATCACTATTAATTTAGCATTTCTATTGAAAACATTCTCAAGAATGTTATTTGTTGTTAAAATGTTTTTTTTTATCTCTGCGTTAGCCTCCTTTTTTCCACTTTCTTAGTTTCCTAGACTGCTCTCCTGTGTAATCTGTCAGCGTCTAGTTGGCCAGCGAGTTTCCAGTCATCTGTCCCCAGGCGCTAATGGGAAATGAAAGCAAATAAAGATGATGTTGGAAACTAGTGTGTTTTATCATAAGAATAAAACACAGCCTTCTGTTCGCTGGGAGATTTCTCTGTCTCCTGATAATGTATTGGGATTCTCCGCTTTAAAACTCCCATTAGCCGTCTCCGACTGAGTGACTCCGAAGTATTTGGGAAGCAGTGTTAGACTAATGTCTCTAATTCGTGCCCATTCGGCCATTGATTTTTCCTTGGCATAATCATTTTCCAGCATATTAGGGAATGTGAAGTGGAGGGCACTGTTAGTGGAAAGGAATCACCGAGGTGCCTGAAGGGCTTCGATGAAATATTGATATTATATTGCAGCAGCAGTAGGTGAATCTGAGGTCTTCGGTAAATTCTGCTTTACAGTCATCCGTAGAGGGAAGGGTCAGTTGAATGGGATTTAATATAGGCTTGTTCCATTACAAATCAGTATTATTGTATAGACTATTTTGTGTTGAAACTATGCTTTTCATCTTAAAGGACAACTCCGGCGCAAAATGAACCTTTGGTCTAATAACGCATTGGTACCGAGTCGACCGTTCTCTGGGATTTGTTTTCATGATAATCGAATGTAAAGAGTTTTATCTCAAAAAAAACTGTTTAGCCAACCCGATCTCACGACCAAGTCGTACGAATTCGACGAATGATTAAAAAGTGGCTAATTCGTAACAATTCATACGACCTCACTCGTACGAATTAATACGATTTTGCTAAATCGTACATATTTTACGAATTGGCCAATTCGTATGAATTCGTACGAATGACCTACCCCTTACCCCGCCCCTAAACCCAACCATCACGTGGGTTTAGACAAATCGTACGCATTAGTACGAGTGAGGTCGTACGAATTAGTATGAATTAGCCACTTTTTAATCATGCGTCGAATTCGTACGAATTGGTCGTGAGATAGTGTTGGTTTAGCTTATAATGCTAGTATTATAGGGCATAGAATAAGTAAAAAGAAATCGCTAGTTAATACCACTAACAAGGCTCAAAATAGCCCCACACTAACATAGCATAATGAGGGTCCCTACATGCAAAACAAAGCATTGAGAACTTTGTAAGTGTACAGACAGTTTAATAACAAGATACTTTATAAAGACAATACACTTTGCATACAAGCGCAGGAGCCATCTTGGAAAACATTCTCGACCAGTCAAACCATTGGAGTCTCATATACTTTTTCTTGTAGTTAGTCACCCATATATTTTAATAAACAGGTATAATTCATGCATTTCCATGTAATTAGATTTCACAAACGTAATTCCGATCGACCAGCTCATTTAGCACGGCATTCGTGGTTCGACTGGTCGAGACTGTTTTCCAAGATGGCTCCTGCCTGTATGCGCGAAGCGTATTATCTTTATCAAGTATCTTCTTATTAAACTGTCTGTAAGTTCTCAATGCTTTGTTTTGCATGTTGGGCATGTTAGTGGTATTAACTAGCGAATTCTTTTTACTTATTCTATGCCCTTTATACTAGCGTTATAAACTAACGCCGCCTTCACACTGGCAGTTGAAATCAGCTCCGATGCGGCTGCGAAACGACCGGAAGTCATTCATTTCCTATGGATATTCGCAGACCGAAACGGGTTCCGAAACGGGTCCGACCGAGTGCGGTGCGAAGAAAATCGTGTCCGTTGGTCACCCGGATGCGTTCAAAAATTTGAACTCGTGCGAAAATCTACGGACGGTTCCTATCCGACAATTCAAGCGGAAGTTGACCGTTGCTATGGTACTGATAAACAAACCTGAATTATTAACTTTTAATAAAATAAATTATGATTTTATAACGATAAGTTGTCATGTCATTTTTTTTATTTTCATGACTTTCTAACGTTTATAAGGGCAGTTAATACAATTAAATTGAAGGTAGACATTGAACTATTGACCACTATATCACATTTTTTAGCCGACCTGACATGTCAACGTCCTCAGCAACTTTCCTCACGCAGCATAACCCTCATCAGAGAGATCATACAGAACTGACAGAATCAACTTTTAATCTCTCCGCCATTTTTGTTCTACCCACGTCCGACGCTTTTCACTGTGTAGTACGACGTCCGTTGGGAACGTATTACGGAGCTGATTTAAACTGCCAGTGTGAAGGCGGCGTAAACAGTTTTTAGAGATAAACTCTTTACATTCGATTATCATGAAAACAAATCCCAGAGAACGGTGGCCTCTGTACCAATGTGTTATTAGACCAAAGGTTAATTTTGCGCAGGAGTTGTACTTTAAATATTTCTAAGTGAAAATCATATTCAACAAGGAAAAAAAATCTTGATTTTGTCCATCAGGAAGTGATTGGATCATGAGAAGTGTGTATTACACGTCGAAGGGGAGAGGATAAAAAGGGCGAGGATGACTTTTATGACTTAATGTAGAATTTAGTCATGAAATCTGTACTGTTTTCGGTAGCACTTTATTTTACAGCCCCGTTCCTCATGTACTTACTACTTACTATAGTATCTGGGTAATAACAAGGCTCTAATCCTGAAACTACCCCTAAACTTAACCTTAACCCATGTAATATATTACCCAGTACTTTCTTAGGCAAGTACATGTAAGTGCACGTACTGTACAATAAAGTGCAGCCCTGTTTTCAGTATTGCATGTCTGCCTGTAGCGGATGTGTGTTGATGTATTACTGATGTTAGCATTGAAGTGTGACACCTGTGTGTTCTTTACCAGGTTCTTGCAGATGCCGTTTCTCGTCTGGTAGTGGACAAATTCAGCGAGCTCACGGACAACTTCACGTCTCCACACGCACGGCGGAAAGTTCTGGCGGGTGTTGTCATGACAACAGGTAGAGTTCTGCCTAAGAATTGGAACTGAGAACAAGTTCTTATACAGAAATGGTCCCATTTTAAATAATAATTTTTTCAAAAAACTGAATATCTGCATTTTGCCTCCAAACTGCTCTAAGACAGTTCTTTTACAAGTAATCCATCAAAAAGTTTCAAACTGGTTATGAATCAGCCTAATGAATTACTTACTGACTGCTTTAATGGTGTTCCATGTACTTGAAATGGTCTACTTTTACTAATACTAAATAATCAGAAAAGATATTCCTAGACGTAAGTGAAATAGTTTTCACGTGTGAGTGTTGTGTGATTTTTGTTGGTTCAGTTGTCAGTCCTGGCATGTTTCCACCTGTTTTGAACACAGGCACTGATGTCAAGGACGCTCAGGTCATCTGCGTCTCCACGGGAACCAAGTGTATAAACGGCGAGTATATGAGCGACCGTGGCCTGGCGCTCAACGACTGTCACGCTGAAATCATTGCTCGTCGCTCCCTGATCAGGTATCTCTACATGCAGCTGGACCACTTCTTAAGGTGAGACGCCGCCAATGTCTCTGTACGTCTCGTTTGTCATCATAGCTTGATGGATGATGTTTAGTCTAGCAGAAAGGGAAATTAAACTCATAAACAGGTTTTAATTGAACATTTTGTTATTGTTTTAGATAGAGATGCAGAATGAATAGTGATTAATCATGACATGGGCTTTTGCAATTTATGAAACACCAAATGCCATATAAATGTTAAATATAAAAATATAATATAAACTTATATATTTAAAATATAACAATATATTCATAATAATGAAATGTTAGTATGGATATATGTGCACATATATATATATATTTAATACTACTTTTGATATGTAATTCAAGTGGACTGTTCTAAAAAGTGTATGTGAGATATATATGTTGTATACTGGCCACACCTTTAAATGTTTAGAATCTTGCAGTCACAATAGGTCAAAATAATTGCAATATGGTCATGCAAGCATTGTATGTCGTTGTACATGACAAAAAAATGTGATTTTTCTATTGTTTTTCTCTGAATTTAGCAACAATAAAGAGGATCACCAAAAGTCCATATTCATGCAGTGTGACAAACGTGGCTTCCGGCTGAAAGACAACGTCCAGTTTCATCTTTACATCAGCACATCGCCCTGTGGCGACGCTCGGATCTTCTCTCCGCACGAGGCGGGCGTAGAGGGTGAAACTTAGTCTTTATTCAATCAAACTGTTCAGTTCTTTATACGTGATCTAGCGGGAGGTGGATGAGGACGTGAGTTTACTCAAACACTTGTTAGAAATGAATGATCGAAACTGAATAGTTGTTCAATTAAGATCGGGATGGGCCCTCTTACGATCAGGTCGCATTTCATTATAATTTCACTTGACTGTCTGACTGCGTTTCAAAAACAAATTTCATCAGTGTTTTTAATTAGCTGGCTTTGTCGACGACTCTTGTGAACTGATTAATTCTGCTCTTGAGTGTTGCTTTATAGACCATACAATTATTCAGCTGAAGCAAAACAAACAATTACTCTTCTTTAACTTATTGTTTGATTAAATTAGTTGATTAGTTGAAGTAGATTAACGTTTTCAGAAACATTGCATGGAAGTGTCCCTCTTTCTTTTAAAATGTTTGTTTAACTCTGTTCTCCTCAGACCAGGGAGACAGACACCCCAACAGGAAGGCCAGGGGCCAACTGAGAACCAAGATCGAGTCTGGAGAGGGAACCATCCCGGTGCGCACGAGTAACACCATACAGACATGGGACGGAGTTCTGCAGGGGGAGCGGCTGCTTACGATGTCATGCAGTGACAAAATCGCAAGGTAGTAAACATAATGTATGCTTATTAGTATTTTTATTTTTAGTATTATTTTTTTATTATTATTGAAGTAGCTAATCATGTAAATTTTATTGTGTATAAAAGCCCTTCCAGGGACAGGAGTTAAAAATTAGCTATAGCTATAAACTTTATATGCAACACTTCAGTGACATGCTTGATCTTGACACTATGTTTGTTTGCATTGTCCCTGTCAAATAAATAAATAAATAAATAAATAAATAAAAATAGCATGTAAACACACATGTACATATGACCGTTGCTGTAAAACCCAGTGAGCTGATTAACTGATGTTCAGGAACAACACTAATCCCAGCGGCTCAGTAATGTTTTGCACTTAATGTCATTAAGTGGTGTCATCAAGAGTTCTTACATTATAGCTAATTAGTAAAAGAAAAAAAAAAGGTTAACACTTATTAAACTAAAACATTAGTAAATGTATTAACTAACATGAACTAACCATGAGCAATACATTTGTTCCAGTATTTGTTAATCTTTGTTGATGTTAGTTAATAAAAATAAAGCTGTTCATTGTTTGTTCATGTTAGTTCACAGCGCATTAACTTATGTTAACAAGATTTTAATAAAGTATTAGTAAATATTGAAATTAACGTTTACAAAGATTAATAAATGCTGTATAAGTGTTGTTCATTATTAGTTCATGCTAACTAATGTAGTTAAATAATGTTAACTAATGAACCTTATTGTAAAGTGTTACCAAAAAAAACTGTATATTATTGAGGTATCATTATTTTTAAAATGTCATATTTGTATATTATTATTTTCCAAAAGATCTTATTTAATACGCTTAAATTTTTCAGTGTAAATGATTTAATTTAATTTAATTTCAGTTTAAGAATTTGAAATAAAAGAAGAAGCATATACAGTATTTAATAAAATTAGGGGGGAAATGCCCCTTATAAAGGTTAAAAAAAATCTGATAAAATTAACAGTGAAGCCTTTGTTTAGGCTCTTAAAGTCCCCGTGAAATCAAAATTGAACCTATTTACTTTGTTAGCGCATATTACTAGTCTTGTGGTGAACAATTAATCCGTGCAAGTGAATATATATTAAAAAAATGTTTTACCTTAGTAATCTTTAATCAAAATCTGAAAAGTTACTTCCGGTCTGGAACAGTTTCTTTTTCTGATGACTTAGGTTTCACAGTTTGGGTGGGGAAACGCTTAACCACTCCCCTCAAACCGTTAGTTTGCTATGAGCGAGAGATGGAGAGGAGGAGCGCTAGAGTAAAACCCTGCCCTCTGTTCAATATTCCGTTTCACTTGGAAATACGTCACAGCACTTGAGAAAAATCGTTTGCAACTTCCGGTTCACGGGGACTTTAAAGATATGTAATTTTGCCAAAATAACCTTTATTTAAAAAATATATATATTTTAAAGCAGCCTAATTCAGTGTGATATGTTACCTTATCATCATGCTTAACACATGATGGTGAAGATCAGGTGCAGATATCTAAATCAGAGAATATCATGTTTGAGCAGTTGGCCTGTAGATGATTCATTTTTAACAGTGTATTCAGGTGAAGTCTCTAGCACACAAGCCCTAGAGCCCCCATTAAAGTTCAGGTACAAGTCAATGCAAAGACTTCCTTTGTTCAATTTGCACACTGAACATGGGTTGGAGTTCTTAATTTTGAACTCTCAAAGTGCTCTAGATTAATGAATCTAGACCCGGACACACCTCGAGGGTACCACAGTCCACCAACGCAAATAATGTGGGAAAGACAATATATGATAGCCTTGCAAAATTAAAAATCAAATTATTTTACTATTAAAACACACGCTTTAACCAGGAAAAACCCTGGGATAAAATCAAATCCATATACACTGCTTTTTTTCCTTTCTTTTGCTATTTTACAAAAGAAAATATTCCAACTCGCTTCACTGAGCTCATCACAATGCATTCTGGGGTGTCCTTGTCTGTAAAGGATGTAATGTTGCATTCAAATTTGGCCATAATGAGCATAAATTCCTGCCTACCTTTGCTTCTATTATATCTATGTTAGAAGTTGCTGCCTAGTTAAGCAGTTCACTAAGTTTTGGAGTGATGGTATTGTCAGCCCTCTTCATTAGAATAATAGACGGCTCAGCAAAAGCAGTAGTCTGGAACCTTCTGGTTAATCTCACTGCACTGGCTAGACGCTGTACCTGTCACCGTTGGGAAGAGAACAAGGGCTTTGTGAATTTAATTGCTCGTTGGCTATTACCGGACTTCATAATTGACAGGGAAAGAGGTGCATGGGTTCAGCATTACTATAACCCTAGTTAAATAAAGAAGACAGTATTATCGGAGTAGGAGGGAGCGTTCATTTATCCTGTGGGGTCAGTGTGGCGATGTGTGTGTCCCTGCCGCCCAGCAGCTGTGAGTGAAGAGATAAGAACATGTCATAGACAGCTGTGACCAGAGAGCACAGGTCCTGTCTCTGCTAATGTGAGAGAACTCAATGTGCATCTCCACCACACACACTTAGCTGTCACACTTAGCACACACACCCCTTAGCTGTCACCCCCCCCCCTTTTTTTTTTTGATAAAATAAAATGCACTATTCAAACTTAAATGGTTGTAATTCAAGATTGCTTTGGAATATATTCCCATGTTTGGTCTTGTTTTAAAGAAAACTCAGCAGAATATTACTGAAGTGAAAACACTTATATATATATATTATTATACACTTATTATATATACTGTACTATATATTTTTTTTATTTTATATAAAATATATATTTTACAAAATAGTTTTAACTCTAAAATTGCTATAAAATCAAAGCCATAAATCTAACCAAGTTATGTTCCAAATTTGAAGTTGATATCACAAAAATTGAAGTTTCCATGAGATTTTATTTAGGCGTAGTAACAAAAATAGCCACCAGGTGCCATTGAATTCCATACATTCTGCCTTAACAAATTAATGCATTTCTGTCCAAATATTAATTCTGTCACAAAATTTGGAACCTTGAGCCACAGACTTTTCTGACAATATGTGTTTTGTCAAGATTAGAAAAGGTTTTGATAAAAAATTATGAAATATAATGATGCCCAGAAGGGGCAGAGCCTGATAAAATAATTTAGCATGAAAACTCAAAGTTTCAATTATTAATATGAAAGGTTTCTATGGTAACACAACGTTTAATTACAAAACAGTTTTCTCAGGATGAATTCTGGGTTTTTAAGCTTTTAAATGATACCTAATTTATGATAACTAGTACTAAAATTTGTGATATAATAAAAAAGGCGATAAAAAACATTATATTTTAGAGGATAATATATACATTATAATTTTTTAGAGGATCATATTATATATTTTTTTATTTATAAAAAATACTAGATTATATGTTTTATTATGAACTTTTAGCATGAAAACCCAAAGTTTCAATTATTAAAGGTGTGTGCATCAAGTCAACTTTTTGTGACAAAGATCAGAACTCCTGTTATGGTGCAGATTTTTGGGGGGAAAATAATGTGTTAAAATTATTACCACACAATGCCCCAGCCCAGACCTGTAAATCATCTTAAATTACATGCACTTTAGTTCTGAACATGATGCAGGGCAACAACTGACTGTCATGAAGCCTATTATAATGCATTTAAAATGCCACTAAAATTCCCCTCTGTGTTTTTGTCTATTTATATCCCATGGTTTAGCAATATCACACAATATTGTCTGTTGTTGCTCACTTTCACCAATGAAAATAGTTCCAAACAAAGCCACAGCAGAACTGTTGAGCGTCTCTAAGCAACACAGCAGTGTTTCACAATTGGGTTCATAATCATTATTCAAATTGGGTGAGCAGTCGATTCAATGACACTTTAATAAAGACGGCCACTTGCTTCGTTCCTGAATGAATCAGCCGTTGGAATGAATTGGTTGAATAAGGCCACATATATAAAACATGGTTCAAGTAATGCAAATGTAATAGAAAAATTCACATGGATTCCCATATCCTCACTCATATGTGGAACATCCTTTTTAACCTAAGCTTTTCCGGGTTAGTGCGTCTACCTTGGGTCGTTTCTCCAAAAGTATAGTGTAAATACAGGATATGGGACACTTTTGAAATATGTAAGAAGAAGAAAAAAGCAGTTGTATGGCACTTTATAACCCTATATTTTTTTTTTTTCGTTTGTATTACTAAAGGAGATAATAACAAAATATGCCATTCACTGAAGATTGTGTTTATAGAGCTTTTTAATGGAAAAAAAAAAACATGTAACGTTTAACATGTTGATGGCCCTGGGTTAACCTTAAAACATGCATGTATTATTGTCTATATACAAATGCATCAGTTGAAGTATCGAACTATAGAGAGACAATAAACCTTTCATGTTTTCAGTATCTGTTTGATACTCTATTTGCTGATTCAGTTTATTGCTTTGGTTTTTAGAGGAAAGCGGTATTTAGTGTGGGCTGGGCTAGTTTATGTGTTGCTCAGGGACGGTCTGACACACTCACACACAGCAGAACTGATGTTCACAGCTCACACTCAAGGAAAAGCAGCCCATCTGCTGAGATGAATGAGCGTGTGGTGTTGATAGAACGCTGTGTCTCCTCCGTCAGGGCCTGTACCTGCTCTGCTAGACACATGACCAGGTGTGAGGCTCAAACCGGGGCACAATGACTGCAGGGGAAGTGTGTTCCTGTGAATTTTTAATGGAAGGTGCTGATCCAGTCATGTCTGAAATAAGAATAACAGTAGCTCCAAAACAGACAGAATGGCTTTTTGTTGATGCCATATCTTTAGCTTAAAGGGATACTTCACCTCTGGTAAGATGAATGTGTATTTAAAATGGGTCATTTCTGTAGAAGAAATGTGAAATTATTTTTGAATTTGGAGCTTTATAGACTGAGAAAAGACAGAAAATGTATTTTTGGCTGATGTGGATAAAAGACAACAACTCCCAGAATGCACTTGCTTCGCTGCCCTAGGAGGCCACGCCTACCGGCAACAGAGTGCTAAACAACAAGTCTAGGCTACTAGAGTGTCCGTGATGAGTCTGCCCGAAAATGTGTTTCGAGATCGCACAAAATGTCCGTTATTCGGCTTTTGCGTTCTACAGTCGCCTTTCATCATGTTTACTGTGGCGAGCGGGACGAGTGAGGGCCATGTGGAGAACTACGCGAGGCCGGTGGCGTGATTACGATGAACAAACACCTTTGAGACGCACCGGTCTCGTATCTCTCACAGAGGCGCGGGAATTTTCTTAGCAATGTTAAAACGCACATCAACCGATCACTTGTTTTAACGTTTATGTAAACACTACATTCACATTCACCAATGGAATCAATTCAGTTAGATTGAAACAAAAGGTGTGCATGTAAACAGTGAATGGCGACTGTAGAAAGCAAAAGCTGAATCCCGGACATCGACGGCCGAACATGTCCGGGAAAAAGAGGATGGTAACCCCTACTACTCAGCTTTCTCCACAGAACAAGAGCCTGCTAGCTTAGCTTCCAAAAAAAGATGGCTGATGTGTTCATTCTGTGAGTGAGATCCACCCTCTATGGGCGGGTTGAAAACATGCGGGACAGCCCCTACTACTGGCTGTAGTCTTTAGCCTCTGGCCAAAAAATCCTCCGATGATGTAAAATGAAGATTTTTGCGTCATCGGAGGATTTTTTCCAGACAAATAAATACATAAATCTCTCATCTCAGGGGATATGAGGGTGGAAAGCATGGTAATTCGTGACGCTTAAGGCTAAAGTGTCCCTTTAGCCTGAAGTCTATCGTGTAAAATCCTCTTCCTGATCACACGTTTTATTTTATTTTTTAGAACATAATTAAATGCAAAATAACTCCTGAAAGAAATACTTGTAAATGAATTGTTTTTGTTCTTTTTTATGTTTGACTTTGATTTAAATTTAGAGTTACTTCTAACACATTTCATCAAATAATTGCAATATTCACATTTTGCATCGTTTTCCAGGATGTGTCATCAAATCTAGTTTAGCCGGTAGATTAGATATGCGTCTGCAGGAACTCTGAATACACTCCAGTGTGTTCAGTGATTGGTTAAAGTAGTTAATAGTAGCAATTGCTAAAGTTGAACTGTGTCTTTCTGGCATTGGAGGCTGTTGATTGGTCAGGCTGAAAAGAAAAGCTCTAATCACTTAAGTCTGTGATCTTTTCAGCTGCATACAGCAGGTGTTTTGGGGAGCAGATCTGGGTTTGATTAGGCCTTTTGATTGTGAATGGCTGAGGAGGGAGACCCAGTGGGTGAGTCTGGGACCTGGAAAGAAAAGATGGAAATGAGGTGGTTTGTAAGAACAGATCTAATTGAACAATTCATCCACTGGTGCTGTTTTTATGTTTTTTTTTCTGGTGCTGGTGAAAATTCACATCTGGGCTGCTGGCCAGATTGCTTTTTTTGCTCTGTTGTTTTCATGTTTTGTGATTCTTGTAGTTCCTGATTGTCTATGCTCCATCTACATGGTAATTTGTAGTGTTTTAGATGGTGAGATTAGAAATCCATTATGTAAAAGTGCTGGAAGTACTTCAGGCTAGTAGAAAAGAAAAAAGCCGAGTGAATGCAGTAATGGTAAAATGCAGTGGTTGTCAACTGGTGGACAGTTCTGATGGGGTTGCATACAGCAGAGGGAAGAAAATATTGAAAATGCCAATAATAGAAAGTTTATACCAAATATAAAGGTATTTCATCATAATTAAATGTAATAATTAGGGCCGTCAAACGATTAATCGCGATTAATCGCATCCAAAATAAAAGTTTGTGTTTACATAATATAAGTGTGTGTAGTGTGTATAATTATTTTATACATATAAATAAATACACATGCATGTATAAATTTAAGAAATATTTTCATGTATATAGTGTATATAGATTTATATATAATTTATATTATATATAAATATATAAATATTTTATATTTAAATAATATTTTTTTCTTAAATATACATGCATTTGTGTGTACATGTGTGTGTGTGTATATATATATATATATATATATATATGTGTGTGTGTGTGTGTGTGTGTGTGTATATATATATATATATATATATGTGTGTGTGTATGTATATATATGAAGAGTTCAGATGCAAAAGCCTCTAAATGCCATTTGAAATTTTCTTCTTTAATGATGATTTTTATCAAACTTGTATATTTAAGTTCAGTAATTTCACTTAAATTGCATTGAGGATTACCTATTAATTATCATTTAAGTGAAATTACTGAACTTGAACAATAAAATGATCATTTTAGAAGAAAATTTCAAATGGCACTTAGAGGCTTTTGCATCTGAACTCTTCATATATATATATATATATATATATATATATATATATATATACAAAATAATTATATACAGTGCTCCCACATATATTATATTACATATATAATCGTTTGACAGCCCTAGGAATAATTATAATTAATCATATAATACAATTGGGTGGCGAGTCTGCTCTGATGGCGAGCAGCAGGGGAAAACAATGCAAAATGTTATTAATAAAATAATTCTAAATAAATTCAATAATTATAATTAATTATGATAAAAATCCACCATATGTATTTTCTGATTGGGTTGCGAACAGCGGGGGTGGGGGGATTAATGAATAATGTCAATTATAATATTGTAAAATAATTATTTTCGAATTAAATGTGACAATTCTAATTGACTATAATACAAAATCAACTGCAGGTCTGTTCTGATAGTGTTGAGTACAGTGGGAGTGGGGGGGGACTATGCAAAATGCCAAATAAAAAATATGAAATGCAAATATTAATAATAAAAATGGACCCCAGGTTTGTTTTGATGGGGGTTGCGTACATCGGAGAGAAAAGTGCACCTAAAATAATTCTGTCTCTTGTTTGTTCCTGTAGGTGGAACGTGGTGGGCATCCAGGGCTCTCTGATGAGCTACTTTACTGAGCCCATCTACTTCTCCAGCATCATCCTGGGCAGCCTGTATCACGCTGATCATCTGTCCAGAGCCATGTACCAGCGGATCGCTGACATCGAAGACCTGCCCCAGCAATTCTCCCTCAACCGCCCCCTCCTCAGCGGTACGAAAACATCATACGGCCGGCTCCCGTTTACACTCCCAAATCATTGAAAATGGCACCGATGTCAAATTGTATTACCATTTACTAGATGGACAGTTTCCCCCAACTTGCCTTCAATTTACTGTGGTTTGATGAATTACTGGGATTTATATGGGCCTTCTCTCCATCTCACCATCACACACACCGACGACCTGTTTCAGTCATTCACTTCATGCCTGAAATCGTAGATGCCCTGCTGGCTGGGCAAAACTTCGTGGTTCAGCTATAGTCAAGCTGGATTTTAAGTGGTTAGGAAAAACTACCTACTAGAAGCTAACTAGTGTGAAGCTATGTATAAAGGTAGTAATAATTTTGAATTTAACCAGTCGTATTTTTATACATGGTACAAAACCATGTTTTTTATGCCCTTGATTCGAGTCACTGAATATTTAGAAACTGCCGATACCGAGTCCCGATTCGATACTTTTTATCAATACTATTCGATACTTACTATTTTCGATACTTACTATTAAAATATATACACTCACCGGCCACTTTATTAGGTACCCCATGCTAGTAACGGGTTGGACCCCCTTTTGCCTTCAGAACTGCCTCAATTCTTCGTGGCATAGATTCAACAAGGTGCTGGAAGCATTCCTCAGGGAGTTTGGTCCATATTGACATGATGGCATCACACAGTTGCCGCAGATTTGTCGGCTGCACATCCATGATGCGAATCTCCCGTTCCACCACATCCCAAAGATGCTCTATTGGATTGAGATCTGGTGACTGTGGAGGCCATTTGAGTACAGCGAACTCATTGTCATGTTCAAGAAACCAGTCTGAGATGATTCCAGCTTTATGACATGGCGCATTATCCTGCTGAAAGTAGCCATCAGAAGTTGGGTACATTGTGGTCATAAAGGGATGGACATGGTCAGCAACAATACTCAGGTAGGCTGTGGCGTTGCAACGATGCTCAATTGGTACCAAGGGCCCAAAGAGTGCCAAGAAAATATTCCCCACACCATGACACCACCACCACCAGCCTGAACCGTTGATACAAGGCAGGATGGATCCATGCTTTCATGTTGTAGACGCCAAATTCTGACCCTACCATCCGAATGTCGCAGCAGAAATCGAGACTCATCAGACCAGGCAACGTTTTTCCAATCTTCTATTGTCCAATTTCGATGAGCTTGTGCAAATTGTAGCCTCAGTTTCCTGTTCTTAGCTGAAAGGAGTGGCACCCGGTGTGGTCTTCTGCTGCTGTAGCCCATCTGCCTCAAAGTTCGACGTACTGTGCGTTCAGAGATGCTCTTCTGCCCACCTTGGTTGTAACGGGTGGTTATTTGAGTCACTGTTGCCCTTCTATCAGCTCGAACCAGTCTGGCCATTCTCCTCTGACCTCTGGCATCAACAAGGCATTTCCGCCCACAGAACTGCTGCTCACTGGATGTTTTTTCTTTTTCGACCATTCTCTGTAAACCCTAGAGATGGTTGTGCGTGAAAATCCCAGTAGATTAGCAGTTTCTGAAATACTCAGACCAGCCCTTCTGGCACCAACAATCATGCCACGTTCAAAGTCACTCAAATCACCTTTCTTCCCCATACTGATGCTCGGTTTGAACTGCAGGAGATTGTCTTGACCATGTCTACATGCCTAAATCCACTGAGTTGCCGCCATGTGATTGGCTGCTTAGAAATTAAGTGTTAACGAGCAGTTGGACAGGTGTACCTAATAAAGTGGCCGGTGAGTGTATATATACATAGAAGCATGCATACTGTCATCACAATTATGAATATAGGACTACTGATAAGAAATGTATGCATGTGACATGCTAGAACATACCTCACTGGTTCTCACGCGTCACTCACACACACAAATTGAGCTTGTGTTTCCTTTTAATGGCGGTTGGCAAACCCACTTGAAGGAGCTTACCACCGCCTACTGTTATACAGATGCTTATGGAGAGAACTTATCCTTTCTCACTTTTTGTTCCTCGTGAGAATTTTTTTATAAAATAAAACAAGCAAACAAATAATGTCTTCACTTTTGTTCAGGAAATATTTTAGTTATGTCAAGTCGTCTGCATAAAAGGTGCCACAGTGTATTTTCGCACCAAACACTCTGGGTTCAGTTGATGAGTGTATTTGTGTGTTTGCAGGAATCAGTAACGCTGAGGCCCGGCAGCCAGGAAAGGCCCCCAACTTCAGTGTGAACTGGACGGTGGGAGATCAGGCTCTAGAAGTCATTAACGCCACCACGGGCAAGGATGACATGGGCAGACCCTCACGTCTCTGTAAGCACGCCATGTACAGCCGCTGGGTGCCACTACACACTAAGGTGAGACTATCACAAATTTGAAAAAGAACCATGCAAATATACATTTGAAGCATGTTAAAAACAGCATTTAGTTACCTCTTTCCACAACAAATCCTTTATATTTAATGGTAAACAGAAAAGGAATAAAAAATATAATATACAAGACAACCATGAAAACGGTTAAGCGGTATATGTAATATACAATATAGTTTATAGATTATACAGAATATATATATATATATATATGTATGTGTGTGTGTGTGTGTGTGTGTGTGTGTGTGTACACTACCGGTCAAAAGTTTTAGATCAGTAAGGTTTATGTTTTTAAATGAAGTCTCTTCTGCTCACCAAGGCTGCTTTATTTGATGAAAAAAAAAAAATGACACAGTAATATTGTGAAATATTATGACAATTTAAAATGACTGTTTTCTATTTTGATATATTTTAAAATGTAATTTGAAAGCTGAATTTTCAACATCATTACTGTTGCTGATTACACATCAGTTTTTCAGTGTCACATGATAATATGCTGATTTTATTCTCAAAAAATATAAATTATTATTTTCAATGTTGAAAACAGTCGTGTACCATTTCCCCCCCCAAAATTCTCTGATGAATAGAAAGTTCAAAAGAACAGCATTTCTTTAAAATATAATCTTTTCCAACATTATAAATGTCTTTACTGTAACTTTTGGTCAATTTAACTCATCCTTGATGAATAAAAGTATTTTCTAATTTCTTTCCCCCAAAAATAAAAAATCAATTCTTACTGACCCCAAACCTTTGAATGGTAGGCTAGTGATTAATGTTACAAAAGCTTTCCATTTCAGATCAATTCTGTTCTTTTGAACTTTCTATCCATCAAAGAATCCTGAAATAAAAATGTAAAAAACTGTTTTCAACATGGATAATAATCATAAATGTTTCTTGAGCCTCATATTATAATAATTTCTGTAGGATCATGTGACACTGAAGACTGGAGTAATGATGCTGTAAATTCAGCTTTGATCACAGGAATAAATTACACTTCACTATATATTCACATAGAAAACCGCTGTTTTAAATTGTAATGATATTTCACAATATTACTGTTTTTTTATATATTTTTTTTTTTATCAAATAATTGCAGCCTTGGTGAGCAAAAGAGACTTCTTTTAAAAACATGAAAAAATCTTACCGATCTAAAACTTTTGACCGGTAGTGTATATGTATGTGTATGTATATGTAACTAATTTTAGGTGTGTTTATGTTGTTCACTATTGTCAAGTAAAATCAAATGTACTGTAATTCTTTTCTTTCTCGGCAGCTCTCGTCAACTCTGCGAATCAAAGTGCCCAAGCCCAGCTCGTACCACGAAGCCAAACAAGCAGCGGAGGAGTATCACACAGCGAAGCAAACGCTCATCAAGGCCTTTCACAAAGCGGGCCTGGGTGCCTGGGTGAAAAAGCCCATAGAACAGGACCAGTTCTCACTGAACTCTTGAACAGGGGGACATAAAAAGACCAGGACATGACAACAACCAGCTGTTAATACTTCACTTGATGTGCGGGTGTGTGTGTGTGTATGTATGTGTGCGTGTGTTGCTGTTTGTTCTCAGACAAACTAAGAGCCCTTTAGTGTCTGTCATTTTGCTCTCTCTGTGTGAATCATGACTTTGCCTTTATAATTTGTAATGTAGAAGCAGGTTGTCATTTAACGTGCGTTTGTTTTGAAGTTAGCGGCACTAGCCTTCCGCAGATAACAGGATGTAATGTCATTTGTAACTGGAAAAAAAAAGTTATTTTTAGTTTTTCAAACTATTTTCACGAGAGACGGTTGTTCTTCTGACAAAACCTCGACGCCGTAAAGTGTACGTTACGTGGCTTCAGGTCGACCACACAGCTGTGCGCACGGGTCTGAAGGTTTCCTGGTCCAGCCTACCCAAATGCTGGCTCACCTTTCGAGCATGATTCTCCTTGATATGCAAAACATAAGCATATTTATATTTTTTATTCCGTTCCCTCTGGATTTTTAAAGGGGAAGAAATTCACATAGATCATTACTATAACGCATGGTCCCTTTAGAATAGATAGACACACTTTTGTCAGGACTTTAGTGTAGAATTAGCGTACACGGTCTTTCTAGAATAGGAATAGATTTCAGATTTTAATTTGACCTCGGAGGGAAACTCGATTTTTTTTTTTTGCGTACGGTTCCTTTAGAGCTTGGAAACGAAAACTGTATTCTCAAACGGTAAATTGAATTGGATAATTTGAGTATTCTTATGGATGCAATCAAAGTGCATTGATCTTATTAAACAATGTTTCGTGGCTATTTAAATTCCTCAGAGGTCTTAAATGCATGTGCGAGCAGCCTCGCTCAAAGAAAGCCCTTTATCTGGGCTAAATACATTAGTGGCCTGTAATGGACCATTTTAGAAGCCCTTCTTTTCTTTTAACGTTTCTACACTGTATTGACTTAAAGCGGCATGGAGTCCATCGAATCACTCGGACGGATTTCCCAGAGAGCCTGATGTGCTAACGTGATCGAGTTACACTCGCGTTAAAGGAACAGTTCCCCCACACGCACTTCTATTCAAATAAATCAAATAATAGCTGTGCATGACGAACTCATTCGAAACGACATGTTGGTGAGTTAATAATCAGGTTGTTTCTGGTTGAACTCGTCCTTCAACGTGAACGTGCTGCATTAAGTCACTGCAGATTTCGAGAGTTTTTCACGATGGCAGAACGGTCTGAAAAAAACGATGCACGTTTATTATTAACAAAAGTCATCTCTGCATGCGGAAGCGATGGTTTGCAGGGGCGACTCTGACTTTCACTTTATCCTTGCATCTAGTTGGAGGATCTTTTCTTTTCCTGCACAGACCCGAATCCTCCGAGACCTTGTCCTTGAGGAAGAGGTTTTCCCTCCGCAGACTTGTGCTGTAGGAAGGTCTGAGCCAGGAGCTCAGGTGCTCTTTGATTTATGGCTTATCCAGTGCTGCATGTTTGACTGGTGAGGCTATAGAGAGCTAGGAAGCAGAACTATTTTCTGTACCGAACGTTCTTTTTTTTAAGTTGAGCTTTGGTGGTTTTCAGATTCCAGGAGTGTTGCTGTATAATATAAACTCCTGGTGGGATTTATAACATTTCAGATAGATGGTTTGACACACAAAATGTAAGACACAAGGCTGCGTAGCTGACCCAGACATGAGTTACTCACCCTAAAACCAGTATGCTGTAGTTTTTTCCTTGGAGGTTTTTAAAGGATCTTTATGCAGCTCTTTCGAGTAGCTCAAAAAGGACTAAATATCGACATAAATCCAGCATGACATATAATATTTCAGATCTCAGAAATCATTTGTGTGAGGAATAGATTGAAATGTAAGGAATTATTCAATAAATGAAATCAGTTTCCAGTTTTGTTCTTCAAATTCTTCCCATCTTCAAACGTTTGAATGGTGATGTTTTTGAAGAAGTCTCTTATACTCACCAAGACGGTTTTTATTTGATAATAAATACAGTAAAAAAAATTGTTGGTACTTAAATGAAGTAACCTGGTTGCCTTAATTTTTAGTTCAGTGAAATGGAAAAATTGAGTTAATGCAATGAAGGAGATTGATTTAATCATCAGGGGTGCGCAAATTACAACTTAGCCTAGTTGGTAACGCTTCCTTTTACAGTCCAGTTACCCATGTAAATACTATGTACTTATTTTAGTAACTACTACAATTACTGGGTAATAACTAGTACTAACCCTAAACCTACCCCTGTTCCATGTACTTACCTTATATTAGCCAGTACTTTCTAGGTAAGTATACTGTAAGTACTATACTGTAAAAGGAAGCGTTACCGCCTAGTTTTGACATAAATGGGCACTAAGTTACAACTTCCACACTACTAAATGTTTTTATGTTGCACCATTAAACTTAGTTTAAACGTAACTCTACGTTCCAACTAAATAAACTTATGTTATTCATGATCAAGTATCGTATTAAATGGATCTTATTTTTACCGTTAGTTAGGTGAGGCAAAAGAAGTTAGAATGAAGGATAAACTTAAATTCATGGCATTTCAACACAACTTTGAAGACTGCTGTTGGTTCATCGAGGCTAAACGTCGTATTATGCGACTACGCGTTACTTTACGGAGAGTTTACGACCTATTAGCTACGTTCTACCTTAAATGGTGCAACGGAATAAAGTATAGAGTTAGTTACAAACTAGCTAGTAGTTACTAACCCTCTAGTGTGGACTTTACGTTACAATTTAAGATGGCTGGTGCAACCCTACCCAGAAACTCAAAATATTATGTTATCTGAACCACATAAATTAAGTTGATTTGACAAAAGAAAAAAATGCTGTGATTACAAATCATGAACCGTGTAGAATATATTAAAATAAAGTCATTTATTCCAGTCTTCAGTGTCACATGATCCTTCAGAAAGCATTTGAATATTCTAACATTCTGGTTCAGTAAAACATTTATAATCATCATCAATGTTTAAAACATTAATGCTGATTTAAGTATTTTGTAATAGTATAAATATCTTTACTATATCTTTTGATCAGTTTAATGTATCATAGATGAATAAAAGTATTTATTTTCATTTTAAAAATCTTACTGACACCAACCTTTTCTATAAAAAAACCAAACAAGCATTTGAGAGGTGCAGCATAAGGAAAGATTTTCCATTAGTACAGTCATAAATATTGAAAATTGACTACTGTTAAGGTGGTTTAATGTTCCCTTTCCTTGAAGATTTATATCATGGCCATCATGAAACGCTGCATTAAGATTCTTTAAAAGCTCTCATGTTGTATCCCGAAGAAAAGATAACCACATACAGGTTTTTTGTACTGCAGGTGAACTTTTCCTTTGATGGGTCGCAGAGCCTGTTCTTCCATAATACTTCCATGAAATCAGACCTGCTATCATTCCATTTCCCGCTCGATGGCGTCAGGTCTGTCCAGCAGGATGGTTGTTGATTTTAAACCTTTTAAAGAAACCAGCAGTATGCGTGTTTGTCCGTCCATTGGTTCGAGTGTGTGTGTGTTTGTGCACCTGCTGCTGAGCCCAGTTGGCATTCTAGCAACAAGACTGAGAGATTGCTGTTGAATCTTCACCAAAGATGTCAATTTACTTTTCTTTGGAAGCATAAAAAAAAAACTGAGACTTTTTTTTTTTTTTTTTTTTAAAGACGAGAAAGTCATTGGTGCAAAGATTGTTCAGCATTTTACAGTTGAGTTTTGTTCTCTCATATTCGCTAATGTATTTTTTTTGTTTTGTCTTTTGAGTTGTATCAGTCGGGACTGGCTTTGGGACGTGCTCGTTCATTCTCAGTATGGTGCACTGCTGTAAATATTTTGTGACCCTCTCCAATGCTGTTACGGTAGACTCCTTGCATATGTATTACTAATTTTCATTTTTCACTCAAAAAGCAACATGCAATTTCTTTTTAAGGTCTTTACTGACCGTGTCCTTGCGGAGGCCGTAATGCGTTTGTGACGGGCCCGTATGAGTGTGTGGGGATCTGCAGTACTGTAATGATTAATGACTGTAGACTTTGACTCCCTTTTGCTCTAATGGAAACGATTACGGCCTGAAATTAATGAGCACAGTCGGTTCTACATAAATGTGGCTCAGCAAAAAGTAGCTTTTTCTGCTGGTGACACTTTTCAAGGGCGTGAGACTTCTGGATTTTTTTTTTTTTTTTTCACTAAAAACAATATATATTCTTTCTTTTGCATCATCCTAATTTCGTCTCCCCCCTTCTCTTTATCTGTCGTCTTCTATCCCGGATGGTTTTGATGGCGTGAGACGTCAGCCGATGATGTAACGATTATTATTATTATTTTTTTCTTCATGGTGTTTTTTTTGGGAATCTGAGCCGTGTCTTAGCAAAGAGTCCTGAGTTTCGTCCCCCTGGTCCTGGCCAGCCCGTTTCTAAACGTCTTGTGATTTGGTGACTGTACAGTGGAGTCCGGCGGTGGTCCAGCTCGATCTCGGTCCACCCCGTCTTTTGCCTGTCCTTCGTAATATCCACATGGGTCACCTGCATGAGCTACTTCACCGAAGCTGCACCCAGCATGACGACATACTTTAAAAAAAGGACTTGTATGTAGAAAAAAAGGAACAAAAAAATAGATCTATACATAAAATTAAAAAAAAAATCAAGAAATAAAAAAGATCTTAGTTTACCTTTGCATATTAGTGTCGTGTTTTTTTTTGTTTTTTTTTTCTACTCTCTGGTTTATTTGAAGAGTGTGTTTGTGTGTCTACTTCATAAAACTATTAACCCTAAAACATTATTCTGGACAAATGTGGGCAAAATAGTTTTGATTTATTTTTAAAAAATACTTCCCTTTATCTGAGCGGTACAAGTTTGCCTCCTGAACACACTTTTTTCTTTTCTTTTTTTAACTACAATGTTAAGTGGGTGGAAAAAAAACTCCTTAATCTTGTATTTGGGTCAAAAATGGGAACCCATAGAAATGAATGGGAAAAACTGTCATTTAGAGTATTCTAAAATTAGCCAAAATAAGACACCAGGTGACAGCAAAGTCACTTCATCTTTAGGTTTTAGCTCTAAGAAATTATTGGAATGATATTTTAATGTAGGTTAAAAAATAAAACATAAAAATAAGCATAATTTAAAAAGCATTTTTTTAAAGTAAATAATTTCAAAAATACCCCCAAATAAATAAAACACCATAATTGGATAGACAAAACTTTATCGAAGACAGTGATATAACATTAGGAGTCCTCTGTGCCCACATTTGTCCACAATTACAGGATTAAGGGCTATAAAGTGAATACGGTTTGAGGGCTACAGCTGTTCCAAAGTGAAATGGAACCTCATAAGTGAGTGATTTGGAGTTGTCTGTAACTCTGTGCGCTATATAAATAGTGCTCCACATGGGAGACTCAACTCGAAATAGATTTCTGTGGCATTTGGTGTGCTGCTAAGATAAGAAATGAATAATATATGCATTAAAATGTGGGTGCGTTTTATTCATCGCTCTAGTAATTGCACTGATCAGGGAGTCTGTCCAATGTGATATCATGAAGTATTCGCGATTAAACCGTTTTCAACATAGATGATAAGAAATTATTCTTGAGCACCAAATCCGCATATGAGAATGATTTTTGAAGGATCATGTGACACTGAAGACTGGAGTAATGATGATGAAAATGCATCACAGCAATACATTACATTTTAAAATTTAAAATGTTGTTTTTTCCTATATTTTTGACTTGCAATGGTGAGACTTTTTTAAGAGGCTTTTCAAAAAAAAAGAAAAAAAGTTTGAACTATAGTGTGTAACAAAAGAGAAAATGTCTAATTGAAGAGAACTGGCACTGGCTGGTTACTTCCGGTTTCTGGACTGGCTGCAGTAACACATCTCTGTCCATGCGGGGGCGCTCGCGGTCGAGTGCAGAATGAATGGGAGTCTAGAAATCCACTTTTCACATGATGTAATATGTTGTCAAGTAATTTGAAAGTTACATTCAAAAGGGAGGGCTAAGAAAATACACTCAGCTGAAAATGGCATTTTTAAGTTCACTTATCTGTTCTAAAAATCCTTTCAAAAATGTGATGACGTCACACAATAGCAGAATGCTAGCGTGTTCCGGCCAACAACGGCCTAACCTGTAAGAAATCAAAAGGACATAAGTACTCGTTCATTCGACTTTTGGCCTATAATCTATATTGAACTTGCGGAATCAACAATAAAATCTGTTGATTCAACGACAAGCAGGAGAAAGAGACACATTTAGCCGTTTAGCTCCATAGACTCCCATTAATTCTGCACTCGCCCGTGATCACCTCCAGTGGAATTCTAATGGAACTGCAACCAAGATGATACACAATGGGGCTAATAGGAAGTGCCAAGGCTCTCCGTTAGACGGGCTCTGGTATCAGCTCTCATCTGATTTAAAAAAAAAAGGAGGGGTTGTTTTTTAAGAAGGGTCAGTACCAAATCAGACATTGTTTAACCCTTGTATGCACATTTTTCATTTTCTAGATCTTTACAAGAAATTCATTTCATCATTCAGTATTCCAGGTGTTTCTCAATTAACTTGTTTTAGATCATTACAAATCCTTATTTAAATTTTTCCTTTCTTTCTTTTCAAATAAAAATCGTTTTTGTGTCGCTTTGTGTCACTGAAACTCTTTTGGACCATGAACCGCTTGGTTCCCAGTAAAGTGCATTATGTGGAGAAAATCCTGGAATATTTTCATCAAAAACCTTAATTTCTTTTTGACTGAAGAAAGAAAGGCATGGACATCTTGGATGACATGGGGGTGAGTAAATTATCAGCAAAAGTTTTTTTTTTAAAGTGAACTACTCCTTTAAGTCTTTGCTGCCAAAAAAAAAAGACTTTTTTTGTTTTGTTTCATGAAAAAAGATCTT